ACTGAGCCACCCAGGCGCCCCAGAGGAGAACATCTCTTTATAGAAGTGTCCAGAAAACTTTTCTTTGCCTCTATCTATACTTCATACATACACACATACTGGCCAAACCAATCACTGGGAAGGGAATGATTCCATCATGATTCATTTATTCATTTAATAAGAAAATGTTGTGTTTTCTCTATTTGCATCATAGGGACTGGGGATACAGTAGTGACTCAAACAGTCAAAAATGTTGCCTGTTCCCATGGAACATATAATTTGCTGAGGAAGACTATTTGTCTTTTTTCCAAATAAATAAGTTACCTGTATAATATGTTGTTGTACATTACTAAGTGCTAGGAGGAAAAAAAGAAAGGGCGCTATGAAGTATTGTGGGTAGGTTGGAATATGAGATAGGATGGTTAAAAAAAGGTCTCCCTGAGTTTACTTTTGAATAAAGACCTGAAGAAAGTGATAGAGTAGTCCATATAGATACAGACTGAAGAATGGTCCAGGCAAAAGGAAAAGCGCAAAAGTCCTGAGAAGAGCAAGGAGGCCACAGTGGTTGGAGGGAGTAGTAGGAAATGGGGGAGGTACAGAAGATGTAGATCATTGCAGATAAATCATTCTCAGCCAGGGACATCTCTGACAACATTTATAAAATTTGGTAATGGTTGATTTTGGCCATAATAACTCGGTGGGGAGAGACTACTGGGGAGGCCAGGGATGCTGCTAAATATCCTATCTACAGGAGATAGACCACCTCTGGACCCGCCTCCCCCTCTCGCTAAAGAATCATCTGGCCTAAATGTCAATATTGCCAAGGTTGAAAAACACTGTTTTAAGTCATAGTAAGGATTGGCTTTTATTGAATGACACTAAAATGTTTTCAACAGAGGAATGATCTAATTTAAGCTCCTAAAAAGATCATTTCGCTGTTTGCTGTGAATAGACTGAAGGTGTTGAAGGGTAGAAAATAGGACAACATTTAGGAGGGTACTACCATTGCCTAGGAAAGCCATGATGGTTATTGGACCAGGATGGTGGCAGTCAGTAGGGATGGTGAGGACTGATGAATTCTAGATACATTTTGAAGGCTGAGCTAACAGATTTTGCTAACTACCATAGACTAAAGGTTTGTGTGCCCCAAACATTCCTATGTTGAAACCTAATCCCCACTGTGATGGTGTGACCTTTCCAGTTTTAAGATCTGTGAGAGATAAATTTCTGTTGTTTATGAGCTACACAGTCTATGGTATTTTGTTATAATGGCCTGAACAAAGACACACATATACTCCATATAATAGGTATGAACACAAGAGCCATGTGTGACCCCTCAGGAGTAATCTGTTGTGGTTGTTGCTGGAGCTGCATCTTCCCAAAGAAATTTACTTGGGGAAGTGGGTAGAAACCTGAACAAATTTGGAATGGGAGAAAGAATGTCCATATGGATGTTTGGCTAGGCAACCAATAGCATCTGTTACATATACGTATCTTACAAAAATAAGAATGGACATTGTTGGATTAGTGTATCACTACCTTAGATGATGTGATTATTCTACATATAGACTACTGAACTTCTTTAAAAAGGCTTTTATTTATTTATTTAAAGATTTTATTTATTTATTTATTTGAGAGAGAGAATGAGTGAGCAAGCGAGAGAGAGAGAACACATGAGCTGGGGGGAAGGGCCCGGGGAGAAGCAGGCTCCTGGCTGAGCAGGGATCCCCAGGCGGGGCTCAATCCCCGGAGTCCGGGATCATGACCTGAGCAGAAGGCAGACGCTTAACGGACTGAGCCATCCAGGCGCCCCTAAAAAGGCTTTTATATCCACAGCACCAAGTTTCAGAAATGTTTTCTCATGCCATCTTTAATTTGGTGACAAATGTAGGAAGTCCTAAAAACTTATTCCATCAAAGTCATTAAAGGACTTTGATTTCCCTTTCAGTTTGCCTCCCAAGTAATTACTGACTTCCAACATAGGATGTTGATATATTTAATAATTGCTTTTGGAACATTTGTTTTGTCTACCCCAAAATATTAGGAGCTCACTATGAGTCTTTATTATGTGTTAGAAAACCACTTAATAAATTTCTCTCACGTATCATCATAATCTTATAACTAATAACCTGCTAAAGATCCTCTCTTTGACCAAACTCTACTCTGGCTTCCCAGAACTCTTTTTTCAACTAGGGATGGCTATTGACTTCCATGGTCTCTCTACATTGTCTAATTTCAGTGGGAATCCTGTTAAGTCAATTTAGCCCCAATCCCCCGACTACCCACAACCCTCCATATCTAACGGAGTTCCTCATCCTTCACCATCCCCTAGGTGAGTTCTGATCACCCTGGCCTGTCTTCAGCACTGTTAACTCAGTTTAGCCAGACTACTCCTCGTATCTCTGACATTTCCTCTTAATAATTTTCCAACCGCTGACCCCCACCCCTTGGCTATAAATTCCCACTTTGCTGTCTTTGGCATTGAACGCAGCTCTTTCTCCTATTGCAAACGTTTTCTTTTCCATTTTAACGAGTGTCGTTATAAATTTTTCTTTAACATACCTTATAACCTAAATAACTACGAGTATTTCCAGTTCACAGACAAAAAGGCCCTCTGGAGGGCCTGGCTAGTGTGACTAGTTATGGGTAAGTGCTCAGTAAAGACTCGCCCACTGATTTGGAAACTTTGGGTACTGAGAGAATACGGGAGACCTAAAATTCCTCCTACACAAATGCACCAAAGGGATCTGACGGCTCATCCTCCAGGCTCGGGCGGGCCAGGGTGTGCGGCCATCATACAGCCCCCTTTCCCTATGTAGACCCGGCGCTCGCTCTTCCCCTGGGCGTCTCTGGAGCGCGGGCGGGGCACCGGCACGAAAGCACCCGCCGCGGCCCATTCGAGGCTTCGCGAGCCCCTAGGCCTGCGTCTCCGCCCGGAACCAGGCGACGCCGGGCTCGCCCCGCGCAAGCGGCGCGGGTGCGGGGACGTCAGCGCGGGCCCTTCCGAGGGCCGGCTCGGGCCGGGCCCGCCTCCCCGCGGGATTGGAGGCCCGCGGCCCCGCCCGGCCCCAAGAGCGGGCGGGAGGTGCCTCGCGCGGCCTGGCGGCGGGGGAAACCCGGGGCCGGGCCAGCCCTCTCTCCTTCCCGGTCCTGGGCGTCGGGTGGAGCGGCACATCTGCGCCCCACTCTCCGCCTGCCCCGCCGCGCCGCTGGAGGAGCTGCCGTCGGGGTGAGCGCCGGAGCCTCCCGGCCCGGGCGGGTCCCTGCTTCCGCGGTTGGTCGCGCACTTTTTCCTAACTCGGAGCGAGAACCGGCGCCCCCTTCAACTCGCGTTAGCCCAGAGCGCCGGCCGGAGGGGTTAGGCGCGGGCGGGGGGCGGGTTCAGCTTTTCGCCGGTGCAGGGAGAGCTTGAGGCGGGAAGGTAGTCTCCAGACGCCGGCGGGCTTCGCGGCGGTTCGGCCCGGGGCCTCCGAGAGTCGGGGGCAGGCGGGTGGCGGGCCGCACGGTGCCCCCGGCCCCTGCCACGGCCCGCGCAAGCCCGGTCCTGGTACGTGTTCAGGCATCTGGACGCCGGCAACTCGTGTGAGCGCTTTTCATAGTAGCCCTGGAAGGAACCCCAAAGCGGAGGGGCACCCGTGTCGGGGGCTGGCCTTGAGAAGAGGCCGCCGCTTGCTCCTTGGAACCCCGCCCAGGATGTGCAGTTTCAGCTTTCAAGTTCTGATGCCGCGGACTTCCCTCCGAAACTGTGTTTATTCTCTTTATACTTACTCAGGATTTATGCCCTGCGGAAAAGTTGTTCTTTGCAGACTTTAGGTTTTAAGTCCGCAAATATGTATTGGACACCAGTATATATATATATATAAAGTATTGGTCAAGGGGAGTCCCCACAAAACTACCTGAAGCATAGTTCACCGTGTAAATATCCTGTTTCCCTTGTGGTTGTGTTAGAAGGACAGGTGAATATAATTAAAGGTTTCAGCTGTGTTCCTTTGCTCTGAGACGCTGATGCTAAGTAAAAGAGAGCAGGGCATTGGATAAAAGTAAGTGAAGGAGGGAAGCCTTATTAGAAGGAACAGAAACTTTCTCATTCAGAAAATGGGAAGATTATACAACGAAAACTTTAACTTTCATTTCAAAGCACTCACCAGTTTTAAAATTTTTTTTCTTTGGAAATACTTAGAGGATTGCAATTACCTTCACATGTAAATTAGTTTCAGGAAGATATGCTGGTGTGTGTGTGTGTGTGTGTGTGTGTGTGTGTGTGTGTGTTTCCCTATGCAGTTTTCTCTTCCAACTAAAAATCTTTCATTGTGACATTCACCTGTGTCCACATGTAATTGGTTAATCTCTAAGGCAGGGCACTTTCCACTTTGATGAGGGTGGAGAAGACACAGGGTCTAAAGAAACGAAGAGTAGTGTGCTACCCCTGAAACTGCCCTGTGGCCTTGTGCTCTGAGAAGTTATATATCCATGAAAATTCCGGGCTTACTTAACAAATATTTCCTGAGTACCTGCTCTGTGTCAGTGATGTGACTTGCTGTGCTTGGTGATATTTGTTGCCATTGTCCATGTTTTCCTAATCCAGAGCTGTATTCTCTCCTAGTGACCAAAGACCTCATCTTTGATACTTAACATTCTCAATGAAAGGAGTATTTGCATGTATATGTTTATTTTCTCTTTGTCATCGGGAATTGTAAACTCATTTCTTAGGGGATATTCTGCACTGTTAGTAGGTATTATAGACTCCCCTAAATGAATTTTGGACATGTTAAGTGAAGTTCAAAAGGTTTGTTTTTTTAGTATCAGTCCTTCTTAGATTTCAATGTTGTATGTGAAAATTCCAATTTGAATATAGTGTGTGGGCTTTCCCAAGTCCAACTGACCTCATAATCCTCATTTGTAGGAACCTGGGAAAGTGCCCCGTAGAAGACATTTTGAGAAATGTATTTTAACTGGACTTTTTGCTGTTTTTATTTTTAATGACTTATCTCAACCTTTCTGCCAACAGAAGTGATGCCACCAAGAAGAAGTGAGAAATACAAACTTCCTGTTCCACTTCCAGAAGGCAAGGTCCTGGATGATATGGAAGGAAAACAATGGATGCTGGGCAAAATGATTGGCTCTGGAGGATTTGGACTGATATATTTAGGTAAAGTATAAGTTACCAAATATTCTTGTATATGTGATGGAAACTGTGATCACTTAGTATTTTGAAAATTGAAACTTTGAATTACAATAGAATTCATAAATGTACTTCATTAAGTAAATGAGCATCATTAATGTTTACCAGAATGTCTGGTTTAAGACATGACTGACCCCACTCCTTGCTGTCCATGTTTTTCTGAATGACTCCTAGAAGACCTTCTAGAGCCTGGTTATAAAGTCCACCAGATAAATGTTGATGTTCTTTTCTGAGAGTGTGTTTTCCTGGAAACATTGCTTTTTATAGCTCAGAAACCACAACTGTCTAAATCCAAACACTCTGAATCTTAATCATTAATATTAAAGTAATACAGGGTTCTGGTCATTTCTTAACTAGGCTTCACTAGAGAATTGAGTCTTAGTACCTCAAGGCATCTGTTGTGTGGAATGAATTAACTTCTCTCCTGTGCATCTAGATGGTACTAGTTATTTGCCATCCTTGGTAAATGAGAAAATAGATGCTCAAAATTATTTTTTGTTTTCTTTGGTACAGATAAGGAACTCTAGTTGAATATATTTTTACACTACATTTAAAAATTTTTAAATTACACTGAATTTAAAAGGATCGTTCAGGGCTACCTTAAATATGTAGTTGATTAATCAGAACTATCCATTACATGACTGGATTTAATGAATAAAATAAGATAAATATTAGTGATTAAAAAAAATTACCCTCAAGGATAAATTCTCCTAAATGGATTGACTCATTACATCTGTTCTTATAGGAGTTTAAAAAGCTGGTAAAAGACCTCCACTGGGGGAATCTTGGATTCCTCATTAAATATTTCAGACAGTAGGGAAGGAAAGACTTTGCCTCTACTCTCCTAGGTTCGAGAGCTGGGTTTATGAAATAAACTGACAACAGGAGAAGAGCTACACCAATTTACTAATTTTTAATGTTATGTGCATGGGGAGATCGCAGAGAAAAAAAAAAGTGAATACCCCCAAAGAGCAGTGAGATTTGAGAGCTTATACACTGTCTTACTAGGGGAAAAGGAGAGGGGATGGAGGTCACTTAAAGGACAGTAAATGATCTTTAGGAAAGATGAATGGGCCCTTAGGAGAATAGATGGGGGATATGATAGTTTGTGACAAAGTTTGTCTGGAAGTGGTATCAACTTTTAATCTCTTGTGGTAAGAGTAGTTTTTTTCTGGTTGATGAAACTTCCCTGGAGGGAATTTATAACAATTGAGTCTTTTTTGGAGGATCTGTCTTTATGCAAATAAAGGGAGTTCAGAGAAAGCCTCTCCCTGCACTTGCTCCTTTTCGGGTACCCTCAGCCCAAGATAATCCTTAGGCCGAAGAGGCATAGTTTAGAGTGGCGTATTTCACCACCCTTCACAAACATGTTTCATGAATCACAATGAATAAAGCTCCTATTCTGATAGAATTGTCATTTTGAACAAATGAATGAAATTCGTTAAAAAGGTAACTCCTTATTAATCATCTCAGTGTCTAATCAAGTTGGGAAGATAAGACCAACACCCACAAAAATGTATGGGTTAGAGAACGGTGTCCTTATCGAAAGAGTTTGAACTTGCTTAAAAAATGCCGTGATTCTGAGTGCTAGGTGGTGAGTGCCGTAAGCAGCACCGTTCAGGAGAAGGTCACTTATGTAACTTAAAGTTTTCTAAGAGCCACATTAAAAAAAGTAAAAAGAAACAGGTGAAATTTATTTCACTGATATATATTATTTAATCCAATACATCTAAAATATTTTTCCAACATGTTATCAATATTTTTTTAAAAAGAAATTATTTCTAGCTACAGTCTTTAAAATCCAGGATATATGCAGTCCCATTTCAAGAGCTCCATGGCTACATCTAGCTAGTGGCTACCATACTAGACAGTACAGATAAAGACCATAGGAGTATACTTAGAGTCCGCAGAGAGTAGAATTCCCCATAAAATACGTGTTGACTGAGACTTTGAATTAGTGAATTCTCTTGTATAGCAAAGAGCTAAGATCTCTCGTATATTGTGCTGACTCAAAGTCAGAGATAGGGAGTTGAATAAATTTCTGTTGTCGCTGAGCTATAGCCTTGGATCTCATGGCTTATCAGTTATACTTTAGATTTCTAATATTTCAATTATTTGAGTAATTTCAAAGAAATACAGAAAAGCATGGGTTGTAATGAACTTATTCCTTTTCTTTTTTAAAATATAAATATATAAAATGTTAATACGTATTTAAATGTATTTTAAAAATTAAACATAGGTCTATATACATATACATACTTTCACTACTTGTGTGGTTCCTGTTGTGAAAAAGAAATTTGCTCAGGCATGTGCTCTATTTGTCCCTATTTAAATACCAAAAAGTCTTTGCTTCTTTCAGTCTAAGTATATGTCACATATTTTTTACTTATTTTTTCTCACTATCAAAATAATATTTGTTTTACAACAATTTTTTTAAAGATTTATTTATTTAGAGAGGGGAGAGAGAGCATGAGCAGGAGGGGAAGAGGGAGAGGGAGAGAGAATCTCAAGCAGACTCCATGTTGAGCATGGAGCCTGACGCTGGGCTAGATCTCACGACCCTGGGATGACCACCTGAGCCAAAGCCAAGAGTCCTATGCTTAACTGACTGTGCCACCCAGGCACCCCTGTTTTACAGCAATTTTTAAGGTTCCATATGCTATACTGTACCCCTACTATCTGAATGTTAGAACCTGGATCCTGGGAATACTAGCAAGTGCATGCCACTGGGGAAAGATTTTGAAGAAATGTTTAGCTATTTTGAGGTAGAGGCTCCATACTTCAGAATATATAATAAAGCTGTGTGTTCCAGATGTTGTCAGTGTTCCATCCAGAGTGGCACTTGTAAATCATAGGATCAGCTCTTTAATGAGATGCCATCAGCAATCACTTCATTCAACTTAGTTTTTACTAATTATTTTCAAAGTCATCTAAGCAAATTCATATGAAATTGTATCATATTTTTCACTTTACCATGTTTCTCATCACTTCCTGTGTATAAGTGAAGAAATTCAGGTTTTCCTTAACAACACCTTTGTGTCCAGCTACCTTCTTTCCAGGTGTTCTTCTTTTTTTTTTTTTTCTTAAAGATTTTATTTATTTATTTGAGAGAGAGAATGCAAGAGAGAGAGAGAGCATGAGAGGGGGGAGCATCAGAGGGAGAAGCAGACTCCCCGCTGAGCAGGGAGCCCGATGTGGGACTCGATCCTGGGACTCCAGGATCATGACCTGAGCCGAAGGCAGTCGCTTAACCAACTGAGCCACCCAGGCGCCCCCAGGTGTTCTTCTTTCCAGATACACTGTTTCGTCAGACACTTCCTCAGCATTTGTTGCCTGAGGCTGGGAAGAAGCCAGCTGCCATGTCTAACTCATTGTGCATGTCCAGCTGTCCTCTAGCTTTGAGATCAGTAGCCAAGGCCTTTGAGGAATCATCAGCTGGGAGTCAAGGGGAAGGGATGGAGAATTTTGGTATTTGGTCTTGACTTGGACAAATAATGTGCCTATATAGCATTAATAGAAATAGTTATAAGAGGGGAAAAGAAAGGTCTGAATACAAGAACAAAGCCAAGATTATTTCTTTATATATGAAAAGAAAGGGGGTGGGAGGAACCTGGTTCAGGGAATGGGAAAATTGCTGTCATTTTAATATCAACTAAGTGAAAAAGTTTCTAAACTTCCAGGGAAGGAGAGAGAACTGAGTCTGAATTCATCTTTACCGCTAGGTGCAACACAGATGCAGAATTGCATAAATGAGGGCATGGGTTTTGGTGTTAGGCAAATCTGGATTGAATTCTGACCTAAGACATTTAGAAACTGAATGACTTCCACCTAGTCACAAGACTGTTTCTATTCTGTATCACTGAGACAGCAATAATTGTGAGGATTAAATAAAGTAATGTTTTTAAAGAACTTGGAGCTTAGTAAGCACTTAAATGTAATGTAATGTATTTATTTATTTATTTATTTGGAAACACCTATCCTCATTGATTAGCTGAATCCCAGGTTCAGTGTCTGGTGCCACAGGTGATTAGGATGGTGACAAAGACATCCATTGGAGGGATTTTCCATTTATCCTGCCATGGGTTGTGATAGATTTGGCTACCGATATCGTAAACTAAGAACATAGAGAATGCCATTGGAAGACTATGACATTTTACTTACTGACCTAAATATTTTTACCCCTAAAATTTATAATAATAGCCATGATGACATAGTGAAAAGTTCTCATTTAAGTTGAATCTCATGTACTTCAGATATGGAAGATACTGGGTTTCAGAAATTAGTAAAAAAAAAAAAAAAAAAAAATCCAGGAAAACAAAGTTATACGTAATAAACTTAAGCTGAATTCCTTTGAAGGCTTATATGAGTAAAAACAGAGATTATTTATCTGCAGCAGTTTTAGTTTTTTGAAGTCGGGCATAGCAATGACCAGTTAGCATCTTTGGAATATCAAGCACAGAGTAGATGTTCAACAGTTATTTGCTTGAGAGATTGAGACTGAGGTTGGGATATTCAACCTGCACAAGCCAGTCTTCTTTATTCCCTTCCATAATTACAGATGTCAACCCTTAATTCCAGCCTGTAATTTTACAGAGGTACCTTAGTGGCAAGAAAAGCTGAGACAGTTATTACAACATCATCTGATAGAATCTATATATGCTTTATTGCCATAAATCAATAGCATTATTTTTTATAAAGAGTAACATTATTATAACTAAAATTAACCTCTGGTGAAGCCCTAAGATCGAATCACTTATCCATGCATAAATGTGTAGACTTTATCTAGGTGATGGTCATACATTTTTTGGGTCATGTCTTCAGATTAGCTCTATTTTGTTTTAGAAATATAGAAGAAAACTTTTTTTTGAGGGGAGTGAGGAACCAGGGTAGCCTAAGTAGGATTTTTAGAAATTATCAAAGTTTAACTCCCTTATTGATAAGGAAACAGACTTCTGTTTTTGAAGAAATAGAAAAGATTACTTACGCATGTGTAGTTTTTACTTATTTTACTTTTTTGTTCACAGTAATGGATTCATTGTGAAGGTATGTAGGATAATGTTCAGAAGAGCCCAGTGATAATGCACCAGAGTTATTGGAACACTTAGTGCTATATTATACTTCGCTATATTGTGTTATTTTGGCAGTGTCTTACAGAGAAGGCTTTGGGAAAAGCAGTTAGTCTTATCTGACACAATGCAACATTATGGTGCCACTAGGATTGTAACTAGAAAATTCTGCAAACAATACTGTGGGGGTGAAAAGAAGAAGGAAATAAACACGAAAAAGGGAAAACTTGTATTAGAAACTATAGTATATATGATAAAGTAGTTATCAGATGAGGGTGTGGAGAGAGATACTCACAAGAGGAAGGAATCACTGGGATCTTGTGAATTTAATGCACCTGTTAGACCTTTACACAAGAAATAGAAGTCTGTAGGAGATGTATTTTAATTTTGTATTTGCTGTCCATAGGCTATTAATTTTGAATTTTTAGAGAAAAAGGAGTGTTCATGTGCCTATCAGTCAAGAAATCTAAATATTTACAGCAGTTTGGATTCTTTGTATGAAAAGGGAGAGTTCTTCTAAGGCTTAGCTTTTGCTTGTCTTTTTCATTTTAAGTGTCTGATCTTCTTTTTAACATATATTATGGTTCTTCATTTTTAGCAGTTTTACTGTCAAACTCTTTTGCCTTCAGGGAAGATTTACAAACTGCTGCATTCTTCATTGATTTCTGTATTATGTCTCTTCTACTGCACCTGTTACTATCCTGTAACTGTTTATAGTGGTCAAGGTTTTAAAATTTGAAACCTACTGCTATAGGGAAATTTCTTCTTCATGAAATGAGCTCACCTCTATTGCCACATAATAAAAGAACTCTCAGTTTTTGAGAGCTTCTGGCTTCCTTATGAAATATGGATAGACTTTGCTTCTGAAGTGTTGTTGTTTTTTTTTTTTTTTTCCTTTCGATATGGAAGAGGAATAAATAGTAGGTATGGTCTTTCTTTTAAGACACAGGAATATCCATGTTTATAAAACAAAGGAGAGGAAAATTAAACTCTGAAGCTCTAAATGCGAGAATTCACTAGAAAATAGTTATTTAGATGATGAAAATTTGTCCACCATTCACACTTAACGATATAGAAGTGTTTATGGATTGCATACTGCTTAGGTACTTGGTTTTGCAATTAGTGCTTCTTCGGAATGTTTGTCCCTTTTAACTCCAATACATGGACTGAACTCACTGTACAATATTCTACATGAAAGAGTGTTTTAGGAGAAAAGACAGAAAACCCAGCCATTATTTCAAGACAATTGTTGAAGGTTTCCACTGTTTCTTTTAAAAGGATGGACTTCAGTTAGATTTTTCTTTAATGTCTCCAATCAAGTAATCCTTGACGAAAATGCTTCCGTAGAAAGACATCCATTGAAGGCCAGAAACATCTACAGATGCAATGTGATCCCAAGCAATGAAGCATGTGGCCCTTCATTGGCATTATATGATAACAGGAGGATCTTCTGGCAGAAGAGCTGACTTTTGCTGCGTTCTGCATGCTGCCCCTCCAAACCCATCTTTGATTGGCACCTATGCCCTATTGAAACTGGCATCACACCTTCTGAATGGGCACAGTGCCAGGCTAGCAGATGGGTATGGGCAAAAGCATGCCAGAAACCCAGTATGTGCATCAAGTTTAAGTATTAGGGGCCCAAACTCTCATCCAGGGATATAAAAACTGCAGTCTGTTGAGAGCTTTTTGTGCTTAAGGTTAAAGGACATGCCATTTCTACTCCAGCTTAGAGATTGATTAATTTTGAAAGTCAAACAGGAGCTCCCGTGGCTGTGTCAGGCACAGTTCTGTCTTTGGTGAATGAGAATTACTACTTCATGTAGGGAAGAGAAGGTATTGTAATGAAGTTTCCAATGAGAGTGTCTCTCCTGCAAGTGCCTCCAGCACTTAAGCAGCATGCCTTCAGTGGAGATGAATATTTCTGTTCTCCAGCAGAGCCAGGTGCAATCAAAGCCAGATCTTCAACCTGCTGCAGTATAGAACCCTAAATTTAGAAAGGGCAGGCAAAGTTTGGAAGAACTCCTTGGTGGCAGCTCTCACCATGAGTTGATGAAGCTTCACGAAAGTGTATAAAGGAGCTGAAGGAAAAAGTCCAAACAAAAAACCTTCAGAATACTTGAGCCTGAAACCAAAAGATCTTTAGCACACCAAAGGAAAAAGTTTGGTCCTTTATCCTCAATGCAGAAATTCTTCTGAATTTTATATCAATAAAAACTTAGTTTACCAAAATGTTAGAATCAACTTAATGCATAAGTAACAAAGTTTTCTATTCTAACATTTATTTCATTGCATGTCTATCATGTATATAAACTTCACTTCTTGAATAATGGATTTTGCATAAAATTGAGTTCTAAATATCATATTCCTTATGATCGTCTCACACCAACTACAGAACTGGGCAAAAAGAAATGGGGGGGGCCATCATTCCTTGTGATCTCTTTAATCCCATCCCCTAAATGTCCTTAAATTTACAGGAATGCCTATCAGGCCAGCTGTGGCCAAGAGAAGCTTTTCCTAATCGCCTTATAGCCATTGCCTTTTCTTTTCCACTGTGTAAACTTTATCTATGGAACAGATTCCATGAGACCGTTGTGAATACTTCAACGTATTCAAAACATATAACTGCCACAAATTAAACTACTAAAACTAAAGCTGGTGCATTGTCACTGCCAAGTAAAGCTGGCACGTCCCTCTGTCAGACTGCGGGAGAGTATGCCATATAGTCCTCAGAAAACACAATTCATCCAGAAGCACTCTTGTCACTTGCTCTGATATTAAAACAGAGAAAGTGACATTAATTAAAGAAGTGACACGAGCCAACAAAGGCAATGAAATTCTAAGCTTTGGCTCATGTGCAGACCTTATTCCAACTTACTCTGCTTAGGTATCGTGGCCATTTCTGGGGTAGTGCGGCTACCTTTCCCCTTCCTCCCCTCGTCTCCCCATTCGGAAACATCATTTGCAAGCGACTAAAATTTTATATCCAAGGTTGGACTAGCCAATCGGTGCACTGGTAGTTCTTGCAGGGTTTCCCAGAATCAGAGTGTGATGGCACGTGCTGCATTTACTGCACTTGGTAGCTGCACGAGAAGAACAACAACTAGAGGCAGAGGAGAGCTGGTCTAACAAAAAGGCAAGCCACGGCTAAACAGAGTGGAGTACCTAGATTTGGCAGACTGGGAGCTAGGGGAGTCTGGTGCTCGGATGAGTTGTGAAAACAAATGGTGGCCGGTGGCCCTTATGGAAATTAACACGCGGAAGAGGCAAGCAGGGGAGTACCCCCAACTTTCCTCTCTTTGTCTCCCTGGCGTGTTCTTTCACAGTGCCTATCGTGGTTTCACAGGATTACTGTTCGCATACTCTTGTATTCACCACTACCCCCCAACATTAGATTATAAACTCCTTGCAGGCCTTCTCTCCGAGTGCCAAAGCGAGGCCTTGCATTCAATAGTTTTTCAAAAATGATGGGTTGAATTAACTCTAGAGCTAGTCCGTTAGTGGGAAAAAAAAATTGGCCCACCAACTAGGTTATCGGAGATGAGATTTTGTGCTGCATATACTATAAGATGCAGTATGTGTGTAAGGCCCTGTAGTTTTAGATTTAGAGACATTATTTTGTATATTTTGGGGGGAGAGAAGTATCTGTTCATTTTCTTTTCAAGTATATTTTTAAAATATAAGAAACCATGTACTTAATCTGTAGATTATAGGATTTATTGGGAAAAGTCTACTTTGCTAATGCGTAGTGTCGGGAGTTAAAAAATGGACTTTGTATTGAAGACAGTTTTGTATCTAGAACAAAACAGTACAGAGTAGCACTTAATTGAATTCATCCAGAAGCACCTAATAGCAGACATAACAGCAAGTATAAACTTTTGTGGAGGAAATGGATGGATGTTGTTTGTTGTTAAATGGATTGATTTGTAGGCATGTAACATGCATAAGAAATCTGCTTTTCAAAGAATGTAAACACAACTTCAACAGAAAAAAAATTACTGGAATTTCTTTTAATTCAAGTGAACGAAAGGTTTGATGAAGAGTTGTGTACATAGTCGGAAGCTTTTGTGTTATGGTTCCTGGGCAGAGGTATTTTGTATTTGAGATCAGGAATTTTCTGTCTGTGTAATTAGTCATGAGGTTTCATGTACGTTTTTCATATGAGGCAGACAATGGCTTCAAAGAGACAGCAGTTCTGCAAAGGAGCAAGAAAAGAAGGCCAAAGTTGACACACACGGAGGCAAAACAGTGGAAGAAAAATCAACACGTTTTGCAAAATCAATCATCGAAAATGTGTCAGTGTTCAGGAGACTGTCTTTAATTTGCAATCCAAGTGAAAAAGAGTATTTAAATAGGAGAGGCAGTATTATTGAGCCCAGCATGCCTGCTACCACTTGTTTGACTAGCTCAGAATAGAACACTGAGAGGCAAGGGCTCAAAGTTAAATGAACATTTATACATTTTAAAATCAAATGAAAGATTCAGAGTGTATTCATGAATTAAATTTTTTTTTCAGAACCCTAAATTTAATCAGCTGGAATTACTTTTAAAGTGTCATTCTATTTAACTTTTCGGAATGATGAATTCGCCTTCTAATAGGGATGCTGTATTTTATCATGGAGATGAAACAAACTGTCTTTTGTTAATTATTCCCCAGAGACACTGGCCATTTTTCTCATCTATGCTCAATGTGGAGCAAAAGCAGCTTTCCCCAAATTTATTTTAAGCAAGAGCAATTGGAAGCTACAACATGTATGAAAGAGGCTCGTGGAGAGCATTGCTTCCATTGTAGGTGTTCTGAGTGCCACCTAATGACGTTCTTCGAGGTAATGTTACCAAAGCCTCACTCAGGAGCCCATGAACGGAGAACATAGAAAAGTAGAGAAGAATGAAAGAGCAAATCTGCAGTAAAGAATAGCAGATGAGTCATAATGTGTCTGTGGCATCCAATAACTGCCACGGATAGTTCTTTAAATCTTTTTTAGGAAATCATTATCAACATCAACTACTACTGAAATCTCTTACGTAGTGCGTGCCACGCTCTGTGTTAAATGCTTTACATGCATTATTTCATTTAATTCTTCCAGTAAACTAATAAGGAAGATATGGAGGCTTAGGGGGAGGTTAAGTAATTTACTTGCATGCCACAGTTTTAATAATTGTCTCCATCTACATTTGAACTCAGGTCTCTTTGCACTACTAATTGATGTCCTTTGTCACTTTGAACACTTTGAATTTATTGCTAGCCAGAGAAGATAGTTGCAAATGACATGCTTTTGACATGCTCATTTCTAAAATAACCGTGAAATATCTAATTGATAGTATTGGCAGCTAATGTAAGAAATCTGTTAGTGATGATGCTGATAATGGTGTCATTTTCATTCAGATTGACAACTCGAGGTGTAGAGCATCAGTGATATGTTTTTAATATTAAGTTCACAAAATCTGTGGAAGAACATCTGATGTTTATAGTAAATCTAATGCTAAGAACTGGAAAAATACATTAAAAATGTACTGTACTTAGGTCAAACAATATTTTTGTGAACAAAAGTGAGAATAGTCAACCAATAGTGCATACAAATTAATAAGAAAGATTTGGTGGATTTTTTGCTTTTTGAAAAATGAGTAATTTTATGCATTTGTTTTGAGTCTAATAAGCAGCAGGAAGATCAAAAGAAGCCTCTTTAAATCCCTATGATACAATTTTAAATAAGCACCATGTAAAAATAGATACTTTAACAAATACTGGATTATTCGTGACCATGGCTTCTTTTCATTGGATAGCAAAGATATGCTATTGAGAAAACTAGGTCTTTTAAGAGTAAAACAAAACATTTAGATATGTGGAATCTTGATAAAGAATATGTTTTCATATAAAATTTGTCCATATACCAAAATACTTAATTTGTAATAGAAGTATAGTTTTTAGAAAATTATTTAATTCCTTCAAGATACTATTGTATAATAGTGATTTATTACAAATCTATAAATGATTTTATTGAAAAATTGTAACATTTCATGCAGAGTCATATCTTTAGGTGTTTTTAGTGGAAAAGAGATATTTAAAAAGTATTGCAATGCTAGTTTTTATGCTAGAATCCCTTTTTCTTTGGAGTATATACATAGCAAGGGAAAGAATGAACAAAATATCATATTACATTAGAATATTTGTTTTTGAGCACTTATGGTGCTAATGGGGTTATTAATTTCCGTTTCTTGAAAATGTGAAGAAAAGCTATTCGTTATACCTGATCTTGTTTCTATTAAAAGATCACGTGTTCCAATTCTAATATAGATCTCCAGTGTCAAATGTATTAACAGTTGAGAATGAGTATTAGTTCTGTAAACCTTCCATCTTACAATGTGTTAGGAAGATGGTAAAGGAAAAGTAGTAAGACCCATTAAAAAAATCCCCACATGATACATTTCAAGAAAAAATGAGAAGAAAGCAAAAGAAAGTTGTATATCT